TATCTCTCTATCTAATATATCCTCCACTAGTATCTTTGCTATAACTTATGACAGAGAGTAAGGAGAATATTTATCACTACGTCAGCTAATAGGTATTGATATTGATAACCTATTAAATATAAAGTTCATCATATGTAATATGTAGATAATAAGTGTAATAATAATTACACACTGTTCTTTCATGTCCCCCTCAGCCCCTTGCATGTGCTTTCCCTTCCTCTATGTACTGCTTTTTCCGTTTGGCCCCTTCCTCTTGCATATGCTTCAGACTCTCCTCTAACTGATCAATTTTTATCACAGTAGTTTTTGCATGGTGTTTGTATCTTGTGAGTTGTTGCTGTTCTGATTCTGTCAAGATACGAAACTAAAACGTAAAGCCGATCACCTTCTTTGTTTTTCAGTGTTAACCTAGATTGTTCTTATCGATTTGTAAAAACAATAATAACACGTTTAACGTGGTAGAATGATAAAAAAAGATCACATCTCAGAATTTTCAGATAGCTATCCTAACCAGATAGACATTAATATTACATTCTGCGTGGTAGAACGATAAACGAGAAACCTTGTCTCCAAATATTTAAACGGATATCATAACCAGATAAACATTATAGGCAATGACGTGATACAATCGTTGAAATCTCATTGGAGTAACGCAGGGCAGGCAAGCTATGAAAGGCAATATGTGCCCGCCTGAGGCCGGGCACTATTGCTTCGCGCGACGATTGTTATTGATAACGCATTGTGTTTTACGGTCCACGATCTCCTGCGTCTGGCCCAGCCACCGCACAGATTTTCGAAGCGGCGGTTGTGTTCGTGTCGAGACGTTTTGTTACATCGAACTGCACCGGCCAACAGTTAGGGAGTATATAAGAAGGTATATAAGGTCAATGAAAAGCTAGATGCATAGTCAGTGATGGGCAACTAAAAAGCACTTAATGCCTGTTGTTGGGGCACTATTGCTCTCCATAGTGTTGGTGCTTTGGGAAGGAATAGTGCCCTCGCTTAACGCTCGGGCACTATCCTGCCTCAGCCAACAGCTATGAGAGCAGTGGCCCCACTAGCAGGCATTAAGTATATACCAATATTACATTCATCTTGGAAGAACGATAACGAAGAAACCCATCTTGAAATATTTTAAACGATATCCTAACCAAATAAACATTAATATTATATTTATCGTGGAAGAACGATAACGAAGAAACCCATCTTGAGATTTTTAGATGGACATCCTAACCAGATATACATTAATGTCACATATTATCATGGTAGAGAACGATAACGAAGAAACCTCGTCTCGAATATATTTCAGACAGACATCCTAACCGGATAACTTCAAGGCGGCAGGAAGTTCTGTGTAGTCCCACTCGTCTGAACCGTCGCAGCAGTCGCAGATGCCGTCGTTAACTCGGTTACTTCGCAGCACTAACGGCCAATCCGCGGGCTGATAATCGCAATAGAACCTGCAAACGACGAATAAATACTACTGGGAAAAGACAATTAATGGTTACTTCATGGTTTTCACATTTCTCGTTTTCTGTCGGGTCAAGGTTGTGACGCGGCACACGTCGCGTGTAGGAAGGAGCGAGTCGGTGGTAATTGTGACACCGCCATTGCAGAACGTCTGGCTCAAATAAATGAATGATTAAGTGCACGGATTTTCTGCATTTACATCACTACCCCTTGTCCCTGCAATACTACATGGTTCTAACACCATTGAGAAGTTTGGTGCAGATGCTGTCGACTACTAATGTATTGGTATTTATTGCATCGCATACTGAATTTTTCAGCCTAACTGCTATTGTGTCTGAATGACAAAATCAAAACGGCTCGGTATAGCCGCCACCTCTGATTTTTCGAATGACGTCTTAAACTTATTTTATAAAATGTCCTTCATAATGTATTCATAACATCATATGCAAAATACATATAATAAATCATATATCATCATAATATCATCATCATCATATACCATCACAATATCATATATCATAAATTCATAACTTCATATGCAAAATATTTGTGACGTTTACCTGGCGGATTCGCACGCGGACGTCGATGGTTCGTCACTGCCATCGTCGCAGTCGCAGTAATTATCATTCAAGTAGCTGTAGGGAATGCTCAGCCGTTTATCGAAACACATAAATGTTCCGTCTGCAGGTATTTTATAGAGATGCCAATGTTCTGGCAAGACGCCTCGAACTGCCGAAGCATGGTCAATGAATGACACATCTTTCGAGTCGAGTTCGGACGGCCTTTTCTGCTGTGTTGGTCTTAGAATGAGCTCCGACTTCTTTCCATAATGATCAAAGCTGAAAACATTTATAATGAATTTACCAGATGTTTTAGACTTGAGAGTATGAGTCTACAATCTACATGACCAGTTGAGTTTGTATAATAAATATATTTATATAAAATGTAGTAGCTACATAAAATGCATCAATAAATGTATTGAAATAGATCATTTATTGCCCTATAAGCTGGTAAAACTAGTAATTAAAATATATTTCAGTTATAGTCTTCAATGTTTAATGTTGAATGTGTTTTTAACTGGAAGTACACAATACCATAAAATGGTTGCCCAGAATCAATGCAAGTTGTTCGTGCAGTTGTACGGATGATATCGTTTTTTATGTATAATAGAAAATGTGTTACCTGCCTAGTTTCTTTACGGAGAAGATTTGGAAGCACAAAAAAATTGCAGAAACAATTGCGAGCAGCAAAAGGGCACCGTATGCACGTCTGCGAGAAATGTGCCGCACTCTTTTCATTGCAGTATTAGCGGCCTACTGAAATGTCAATCACATAGTACATGGCAGTCCCATTAGTATATTGAATGTTCAATACGGATATTTTGTATTATAATTACTACAATAAATATTCACTAGAAAAGGTTCAATTATGAAAAGGTTTCATGGGAAGGATATATTTTTCTGAAGGATATATTTCTGATTTGTAAGTATGGTAATAATATTTATATGGATTGAATGGAAGAAAAATAATGTCACGATGAAACGTTATTATATCAGTTGATTTATTATTTTATTTTAGTTATTGAGTAACTATAGGTATATGCAACAATAGGTAGGGGGGGGCAGATGCACTGATTGTTACAGTCGCGTGGGCATGCTTATTGCTGTATATGTAGGGGTGGGCACCGCTGTTATGAGGGAGTGACAGCAAAACTTTACCCAAATCGAGGAAAAAGCTGCAATCGGGAATGACACACGAGTGTGCCGGCACGCAAAAAGAAACGTTGCTGTGAATTTCATTACGATTTTCCATGTATATAGTCAGAAGCACATGGTAATCTATTTATTTTTGGATTGACACTATTTAGACAACGGCGGGTAAATACAGGAACATTTTCACAACGGCGGTGCGCCGCAGTGCCTCCTATGTAGAAGAAACCCTGAATACGAAATGGCAGAGACAAAGAAGCTAAACTTAAACGGATCTTTTGAAGATGGCACATGTCGAAAGCAAAAAGTATAGTACCTTATCTGCATCTGCATGTTTCAACACTTGGAACAAATCTATCAAACAACTAGGTGAATTAGGACGCTACGTCTTATTCACTACTAGTTCACCCCAGAGCATTACACCAAGCCAACCTCTGCTGACTCTGAGGGTGATCACTGATCAGATCAGTGTCAGTGGCAGTGCCATGGCATGGAACCCAATAGAAACAATCGTACATCGACAGAACTTGTTGTGTATTGACCATGCGTAGCAGCAGGGTAGTTGTTAGCTAGACCAGACTCTACGACTGTTTCACGTTGTAGTGCTCTCTCGCGTCGTTCACTTCTCGCTGTACCGTAGAGTTTGGATGCTCGCCGAAACTGGACGCTCCTGAGTGCACATGTGCCGGGCCGTAGGCATGCTCTTTTGTTTTCTTTTTGTTTGAATCTTGTTTTGCAGGGCCGTAGGAAATAGTAGCCATGCTCTTTTGTTTTCTTTTTGTTTTGCCTTGTAACCTGACACACATAACACAGTCTTACTAACTTACTACATATTGTAAATTGTTGCAATCAAATGTTTCCATCAGTGACCGGGTTGTCCGTCATGTTTGTTTATTGCAACGGTTTTCGATGGGCGAGATGCGCAGATGACTACTGCGCATGCTGGGCATGCGCCCTTGCAAAACAAGAGTTGTCTGCGCGCATGCGTACTTAGGAGCGTCCAGTTTCGGGCGAGCGTCAAAACTCTACGGTACATCACCACGTAGTGAGAAGCGAGAAGTTTAACTTGTGCCAGTTGTGGCTAGGTAGTTGTGTATTGATAATTGAGGCCACAGGCACTTGGAGCGTCTCAATAAAAAAAAATCATGGTAAATAAACACGAAATGTATTTACTACCAAAGTCTTAATGTTTCTCTACTCTATTTCGCCTATTATTGCCGATAATTACCCGTAAATGCCAGTCAAATGCTCATCTGCAACACACAAGTACGCCGTACGCACGCCCTGTGCACAAACAACATGAATATGAGAGAACAAAACATGAACAAAAACATGTGTTGCAGATGAGCATTTGACCGGCATTTACGGGTAATTATCGCCAATAATAAGCGAAATAGAGTAAAGAAACATTAAGACTTTGGTAGTAAATACATTTCGTGTTTATTAATTATTTACCTTTTTTTTTATTGAGACGTTCTAAGTGCCTGTGTCAGTGATTGAGGCTAATACTAATAGTAATACCCTACTAGTACTAGTACTAGTACTACTACTACTACTAGTACTAGTACTAGTAGTAGTAGTAGCATAGTACTCCTGCTACTACTACTACTACTAGTAATAATGTGTAATGTAGACCCCCGATCCTATGTATATTCGTCCGTCGCCCAGCCCGATCGGGCTACCACACCATTGCTAGTGCGTTGTGCCCTCACACATGAAAACTTGTAGAAAATATACAAGCTATATATTCCATAATAAATCGCACAATCATTAATATTTATATGCTTCACATATTTACAAGCACATATTTATCTGGACTCACCTGACCGATTCACATGCGGCGGCTTACACTACAGCGCCATCTCTCGGATGAAATAATTCAATTTCTAATTATGCAGAAGATGAGGAAGATTAGGCAGATAAGGGAATGAGGAGCGGTCCAGGGCTGCAGCCTCCGGTGGGGTACACAGACTCGGATTAAAATTCAAGATGTTTATATGTGTATAATACTCCTAAATACGATTTGCAACGGTAGCAAAAATAGATAATAAATAGTAAATTTATTAAATTTATTTTATACAGGTTCAAAATAACCCTAATTGTCTGAATCGTTTCTCTGTACGTATCATATCAGAATCCAGGTGCGGCTGTTCTATTCCCCGTTCCCGGAGTCTACAGCGGTGACAGACAATTTGCATCGCAAACTACTCGCGTTTACACGTTTCCTATATTTCAATATGACTTCAAATATTTCTTGTGATACACACTGCGCAAGCGCTAACACAGGTCTAACGGTATGTTACCGTATAAGAAAATTCATGATCTAGCTCGTTTTTGTTCTCTGTTTTCTCTAGTTTATGTTCACAACAGAAATGTGTGCATTTAATATTCTGGTCAGGTGTGCACGCGCCAACCGTTTAAAAACTGATTAAACTAATTAATTTGCGACAAATTTAAACAATTCCATTTGCACGGGTATTGATATATGAGATAAGACGTTTTAGAGGTTTTTTATTGCGGCGAAGGCAGGAAATTGTGTTATTCCTCACCATTCGCTCAAAAATATTCCGGGTGAACATGACCCTGACCTCCCATAAGAAAGGGTGACGTAGAGTAATTCGAAAGAAATTATTGCACTGATGTGATAGCTTTGAATTGTCACATTTCTACAAGAACACAAATATATTAAAATTATCTATATGGAATGTTTATTGAAGCCTAGAATGTATTACATCGTGTTATCTTGTAAACACAATTTCTCTAAAAATTACCCGAGGTTACGTTAAAAACTACCAAAGTGGATTGTCAAGTTAGTAGTTACATAGGAGATCGTGGCGCCCAGTAACCAAGAGACGGGATCGGTGTCAAAATACTAGTAAGAAACACTCAGCTAGACATTAATAATCAACAGGCTCTTTTTATTTGTTTTAGCATTTGGCATTACATACAGTGAATATTTACGGCATGCGTCATTATATAAATCATTTACAGCCACGTACATATAAATGTGCGCGTAATATAAGATGTAGAGGACATGTGTGAAGCGTTAACGTGCGAAATGACGTGTAAATTTTCAAGTTTTATTGAATTAATAACAGGCTAAAGTTTAATACGCAATCTTAAATCATACTGACATTGTCGATCGAACCAACGGAACTGTAATACCTGCACGTATTTCAGAACATTGCGGCAACGGTGTTTGATCACTAATTAGGTAATAAACGCTAATTTTCAATTTCTATGAATGCTGTCAAATCAGTGGCCAAAAATTAAGACGTTCATAAGAAAAAGGAAAAGAAGATTGCTGTTCTCCAACTAGCCGTGGATGTTTTTTTATCCATTCTGCAATGAAGTTAAACATTGGCTGACGATTCTAGTCTCCCCTGAAGTATGAGATGATTTGAGGACAGACATCACAAATCGATAAGCAACAACTAAACGTAGCAGTAAACAAAACCAATAACATTTCATTCTAAAGGTGTCCACTATATTACCAGGATGAATAATAACACAGATGACAAATCTGTCATTATTCACCCCTGCTATTACCTATAGGCTATACTACTAGCACGCTAGTCTTCTATGCGAATACGATACGAACCTACAGGGAACGTGTCGCTACAAAACACATTATCTGATAAGATGGTGTGACCCGTAGCTATTACCTTTATTATAATTATTATTGCTACAAATGTAGGCCTATATAATTCTATAATTTTGAAAGGATTACACTTTATAGCATTGCTTAACGTATAGCGAATAACGTAAAGTGCACAACGTCTACATATAAACGCGGTATTAAAATATTCAGGACAAACACTTAGAGGCCAGTAATAAAAAACTTCTTCCTATACAACACACGCAACAATCAACAGTGCCCGCCTGCCGATGTAAGACTGAGACACGATATAATAGAATACATACCTGATAATAACGTAATATTCGTCGAGACATAGTTAAAGCTGCGCGATATAATAGAATACATACCTGATAATAACGTATATATTCCTGTCAAGACATAATAAAAGCTACGCGCTATAACGCCATGTACAATAGTTGCCAGTCGGGCTGCAGTGAACGAGAGAACAGACTTCCCTCGTACTTATACTAGCTGTCACCGAATACATATACATTAAACTAAAAAAATATTATATCGCAATTATAGCAAAAGACAATAGACAAGCGGACACGTTTTTGGTTTATCGGTTCAAAACAATATTCGCCAGTCAACGGTAGTCGAGTTAACAATAGCGTACGGTAGATCGCACCATACATATATGTATAAACACATGCGTTTGTATATATCTATGATCGCACGCAATAAGAAGACACTAGAATGCTGATCAGTTCACGGTGCGAGAATAAATACAGATCACAATCACAGAAAGGTTACTACTCGTTATAAAATATAGGTTTACAATACTCATTTACAATACTCGTTTACAGTCGTTATATTAAAACACGCGACACTGGGATATTGCTTTAGTTTGCAACAGTTACTGGTTAGAACATTCTAGTGTAATGTGGTTTGGAACACAGTCATCGACGGGGATGTCAGCCATCTTGCGAAGACTAGTAGTATTCAGCTACCCGCAATGTTTGGCACATTCAGTCACATTTTTGACACGACGCACTTCAATCACAGAGTGCGCGTGATCATGAATTAATTAATAATTAGGTTAACAAATATAACATACAGTCCATATAACAATATTTACAGAGGTCTTGACTGCGTCATTTTTGCAGAAAATATGACAGGAAAATTATCGCCTACGATAATAATGAAAATTATCGTTATGGGATAAGTTTCCTAAGATATTTCATGCAAATAGATTCAGCGTAATAAACTTGTTGCATTTTCGACGATGTTGGTTTGTAGCAAAAAGTTCCCGTTTAGTGCAATATCCCCGAATTCGCTATAGCTGCATCTCTAAGAACTCAAGAGACCCAAATGCATTGGTTTATAACAAATTATAAAAACACAGATATATATAGTATCTACTATGATGTAAAACTTTGGCTTCATTATATATTATCCAGTTGAGCACCCAGCAGCCAACTTACTTACAATGGAAAAAAACATATACAGCCCAATCTATCATCAAAGCATAAATCTAGGTGCTCTATCCGCCTCTCTCACCCGCTATATATATATTATATAGCCTATCACTATAGGTATGATAATATGTGTAACACGATTTCTTTGGTGGTATATAAAATTTAGATAGAATAACGATATTTTATAAGACGCACGCACGCGCGCGCGCGCGCGCGC